TGATGATGATGCTGATGATGATGATGATGAGGAGGAGGAGGAGGAGGAGGAGGAGGAGGGGGAGCGAAGCAAAGCAAATAACCATCGGACCCACTGTCTCCCAGGGGTACGAGACCAAACAAGGTGGATCTAGGTGGCAGCACAAAACAGACTTCCAACTTGAGTAGCCTTGTTGGCGGGGAGCGCTCAAGCGTGGAAGCGGCCCATTATGGAGGAAAGTCCACTGGGCGTAGATATCATGGCTCTACCTCCACACAGACAAGAAAACCCTTTCGGACACTAGGCAGGCCCCCTTGGCCCGACACCTCTCTCTCGATGACTAGCGGGCTTCATCAATTTCTCCTACTCCTCTTCCTCCTCCTCCTCCTCCTCCTCCTGCTGCTCCTCCTCCTCCTCCCCCTCCTCCCCCTCCCCCCTCCCGTCCCTGCCTCGCTCGAAACGTGGCGCCCGCCGCCCCAGGAGCCCGACCCTCCGCGGGGGTTCCTCCTGCATGGCGCACGCGAGGAAGTCGGCGTACGCCTCCGCCTCCTCGCCCACGTCGCCGCGCCCGGCCTGCTCTCTCTCTCTCTCTCCTCCTCGCCCTCCCTGTCCGCCACCGCCCTGCCGCAGGCGCTCCCCCCCCCCCCCGAGAGCCCCCCCCCGAAGCCCCCCAGCAAGAGGCCTCCAACAGGCGAAAGGACGGAGGAGGAAGGATCATCATCCCTCCTCTTTTGTTGTTGTTGTTGTTGTTGTTTTTTTTGTTGTTGTTGGTTTTCCTTGTTATTAAAAAAGAAAGCGGCGGTCGAATGTTTGTCGCCATGCAAACCTGTCCAGCCCCTCCCACCCAGCAAAAACCAGGGTGGGAGGGGGGCTCATTAGGGAAAAGGTGAACCCTCCTCCTTCCTCCTCCGCCTCCTCCTCCATCCATGTTCCGTGTGGGTAACTGCTCCCCGTCGCAGCCTTAGACGTGTCGGGTGGAGGGAGGTATTTGCACGGAAGGAAGTGAGCCCTGAGCGACATGGCTCCCGCATGTTCAGTGTTCGGGCCCTCGGAGCCCGAGGACCGTCAGAAAGCGACCCATGATGAAAAGTGAGCCCAGCGGGTGCACATTGGGGGAATGCTTGCTGAGCGGCATTCGTTGGCACTGCTTGGCATTGCATTGAATTGCATTGCTTTGCTTGGCATTGCATGGCGTTGCATGACTTTGCGTGGCATTGATTGGCATTGCTTGACGTTGCTTCGCATTCCTTGGCACTGTGTGGCATAGCTTGGCACTGCTTTGCATTGTCTTGCGTTGCTTTGCGTTGGTTGGCATTGCTTTGCTTTGCTTGGCATTGCTTTGCGCGGCATGGATCTGCACTGCTTGGCATCGCTTGCCATTACTCGGTGCCCCTTTGTACTGCTTGCCAGTGCTTGGCATCGCTTGGCATCGATTCGCATTGCTCGGCAACCTTGGAAACGCTTCTTGAAACACTTTTTTCGTCGGCGGCGAGGCAGAGTTGGCTGCACCAGCGCTAGAGCTAAGCGGGGGCACCGAGAAGCGAATTGGCCAGCGTGCAAAAGCGGCTTCCTGAAACATGTACTGTGGGAAGAGACGTGGCCGTGCACATGAGCAACGAGACAATCATGCACACAGTAGGAGGAGCCCGATCACAAGAACATCTTCCACAAGAGACCGAACCCTGAGACCCCAGGACGTCCATAGATTTTCGGTGTGGGAACGTCGCGCTCTCCGTGGCAAGACCATCGAAGCCCAAGAAACCCAGGACACCCTGGAGACAAGCAGGGTGCTTCTCTTGGCATGGGACTCCACTGCAAGTTTGGGCGCCCGGCATGGGTACGGAAAAAATGGGTACAATGCCCAACAACAAATGTTGTCCCAAACCAACAGCGGCCGCTGTTGGGCAGGCAGCCTTCTGTCTCAAATGTACACAGGCCGCAGCGACACCGACAACGAGTCCTGTTCAAAATGAACAAGAACTGCTGTTGGGCATTGTACCCATTCTTTCCGTACCTATTTCGTGCCGAGCAGGAGCAGCAAGACCAGGGAGCCCCCAGGGAACGCCACTCTGAGGCAACGCAACACACGAAAGGGGCCCGTAGGGAGGGGCCGGCCGGCGCAGGCACCGCGAAACCGACCTCGGCGGCGCTCAGAGTTCGAGCGCGAGCCCTGCAGGCACGCCTCCGGTGGGGCAGGGTCGCGGGCAAAGGCCCCGGGGCTCAGGGCCCGATGTCCTCGGGGCCCGTCGGCTCCATGCCGGCGGTGTGGGGGAAGAGGGTGGTGACGAAGAGGGGGAGGGAGGGAGGGATGGAGGATGAGGATGATGACGAGGGAGGGAGGAGAGGGATGGGGCGGATGATGACGATGATGACCAGGGAGGGCGGAGGGCGGGGAGGATGAGGAAGAGGAGGGAGGGAGGAGCGAGGGAGGAGGAGGGAGGATGAGGATGATGACGAGGGGGGGAGGAGGGCGGCAAGAGCATGACGAGGAGAAGTAGCAGGGTCGCCGGGGTGGGAGGCAGGAGGGAGGTGTGGGGGAAGAGGGGGGTGACGATTGAGGGGGAGGGGGGGAGGGGAGGGAGGGAGAGAGGAAGGAAGGATGAGGATGATGACGAGGGACAGGGGTGGGAGGCAGGAGGGAGGTGTGGGGGACGGGGGGGATGACTGAGAAGGGGGAGGGAGGGAAGGGATGGAGGGAGGAAGGGAACGAACGCGCGAACGAACGCCCACCATCTCGGACTAGCGTCTGGGCCTAGCTGAGACCCGGTGGATGACCCCGGTAAAAGCAGAGGGGATGATGAGGATGATGATGTTGAGGAGGAGGAGGAGGAGGAGGGGGAGGAGGAGCCGTAGCGACCAGTATCAAGGACTACTGCAGACATGCGACTCTATTCATGCAGATCTTGCCCTGGCGGCCGCTGCCTCCAGGATTCCTCCGGCTTCTTCCCCTTCCTCCGACGTGTTTGCGCGACCATGCTGACAAGCGCACATCAGTCGGAGGAGAAACCACGTGGCCCGCACGCCCTGGCTCCTGCACGAGGGAGGGCGAGGGCCACGAGAAGCATGGCGAGGAGGGGGGGGGTTCTCGGGGCTATCCTAGTGTTGTTCTCGTGGCCACCGAGAGGGGGGCCGGGACGGGGGGGCGACGAGCGAACGAACGAGCGACGGCGAAAACTGAGGGCTCCGAGGTCTAGAACACAACTGCACAAGATATTAGTAGGCTCCGAGCGGTTCCTCCAGTGGCTCAGCCACAAGCCTTCCCCGATGTATTCCCGACGGTCCTCTCAAAAGCCCCCCCCCCAGAGATTATCCCAGACAGTACTCCAGAGGCCTCCCCAGATGCGCTCCTCAAGCCGTCTCAGAGACCTCAGAGGCCCCCCCCAAGAAGCCGTCTCAGAGGCCCCTCAAAGACCCTCAGAGGCTCCCCCGGATGGTTTCCTGGAGGCACCCCTTGAGACCCCAGAGACCCTTCCAGAAGCTCTCCCAGAAGCCTCTCAGACCCCCCCCAGGAGCTCCTCCCGGAAGCTGCCCCAGAGGCGCCCCCCTGGATGTTCCCCCCCAGAGCCCTCCTCATCAGAAGACCTCCCAGAGGCTCTTTCAATGACACCCCAGAGGCTCCCCAGAGGCCCCTCCAAAGGCTCCCCCGAGGGGAGGCATGCCAGGAGCGGGGAGGGCCTGGGGGGACCACGAACGAGCGAACGACGACCGAACGACGAACGAATGAAAGTGAAGAGTCGGGAGGCATGGAGGTGGTCCGAGCCAGAGTGGAGGGGGGCCTCAGATGCGGGGGAAGGGGAGGGGGACCACGATCGAACACACGAATGCAGAAACGACGAACGAGCGAGAAGAAAAGGGTTGATAGCATTGGGGTGGGCCCAGGTCAGGGGGAAGGGGGTCGCGCTTCCAGAGGCCTTCTCCGAAGTACTCCCAAGGGGTTCCTTCTGTGCCCTCCGAAAACTCTGCCGGTCGGTGCCCCTGAGGCCCCCACTTGAGCCCCCCCCCACGCCGCTGGCTTGGTCGGGCCCGCCCCACTTTCTCTCACAACCAGTCAACGCGCGCGGCTCCTTTCCTCCTCCTCCTCCTCCTCCTCCTCCTCCTCCTCCTCTTCGCCTTCTGACCAATTCAGACGCCGTCCTGGCCAATTTTTGGAGACGCGTCCAACCGTGGTCACGAGGAGCCTCCCCTAAAGCCCAAGACTGCTCAGAGCATGCAGACCTGCGGAGGCTCTCAGGGAGGGCGGAGGACATGACGGGAGGGGCTGCATTTTCGGGGCACGCCACCCGAAGCTGCGCCAGCACGTGCAATCGCGGCCCCGCCCCCGCGTCCCCCGCAAGGGCTTCCGCGATCCGCTCCGTGTTCGAGGGCGCCAGCGCCAGCCTCGGCGGGAAGCGAGCAGGGGCAAGGCCCTCGGCCTCGACCCCTCCTTCTCTTGCCTCCCTTTGCCCCCTCCAACCTCTGCGGCTTCCTCCGGCCTTCCCGGCCCTCGTCGGCCTTTCCTGGTTTCCTTCTGACCATGCCCTGGACGATCCCGACCGCGTACCAAATCGGCTCGATTATCACGCCTGGGCATCCTGGCAAGCGCGACAACGCGTATTGAGCTGGTCTGGTACACGGTTGGCGTCGTCCATCTGTCGACCTTTCCTTCTGCGCTCGTTGCGCGGCAGGCGCCGCCGCTGCCGCCGCTGCACGTGGGTGCGGAGGGCAAAAGTCGAGAGGGGCAGAAGGAACTGTGGACTGGCAGGGCAGGGGGCGGGAGAGCTGTAGGAGGCCAGGGAAGGCCAGAAAGGCTGGGAATGGCCAGGCGAAGCAAGAAAACGCTAGCCCACGAGGCCTCCACGACGACCCCAAGGAGGGCCCGAAATAACGACTGCGAGCGGGGAGAGGGATGATTCTGATAAAGCTAATGGTGGAAATTCTGATGGTTCTGCTGCTGCTGCTGATGATGATGATGGTGGTGATGATGGTGATGGTGATAATGGTGGTGACGATGTTTATAACGATACTGGTGCAGATGCTTGTGGTGGTGATGCTGATGAGGAGGATGGCGGTGATGATGATGCTGCTGATGCTGATGATAATGGTGATTCGGTAAGAGGCGGCTGACGGCGAACTTGGAGCACGGTTGTGAGGAAGTTAGCAGCGCAGTGCGGGGCCTGCGAAATGCGGTGGCCTGGTGCGGAAGCGCGGCGGACGGGGAACACGCACTACGTGGGTGGAACACCTCGAGTTCCCAATTCGGGAGACTGAGAAGATTTGATGGCGACAGCCGACGGTGCTAGGTATGGAAGCGCCTGCGCGTGGTGCTGTGATTGACATGATGGTGATGGTGATGATGATGGGGCTGGTGATGACGATGATGATGGCGATGGCGACGATGGTGACGGTGATGGTGGTGATGCTGGTGTTGATGCGAGTGGTAATAATGATGCTGATGATGATCATAATGACGATGATGATGAAGATGGAACTGGAGGATGACGATGATTCTCCCGCTCCCGCGCAAGTGAGCAGTCGTCGGAGCGCGCGGGGCCGCGGCCGATGCGCGGGGGGGTTGCCCGCGAGAGGCCGGGGCCCCCCTTGGGCGTGCGAGGGCCGAACGCCGCCGCTGAGGCGAAGTACGTCGCCATGGACGCCGGAGGGCGTCAGCAGCGGCTAGCCTCGGCGACGAAGAGGAGGGGGGAGAGGGTGAGGGGCGAGACAGCTGCAACGAGCGCGAAACGCAGGGAAAAGGGGCGGAAAAGAGCGGGCATTCTCCCGCTCCCGCGGAAGCGAGCGGTCGTCGGAGCGCGCGGGGCCGCGGCCGACCGCAACTTGCGTTGACCGCGCAGAGCGGCCAACAGCAAGAAAAGAAACGACAAGGCGGTGGCTAGCAGGAGCGAAGTCCGCAACGCGCGCACGAGCTAAAGCAGGAACGGCGGGCAGAGCAGACGAGGCGGCGGCGCCCTGGAAATAGCGCTCAGTGCTGGAGGCCTGACGCCAGCGGCCACGCCAGAAGACGTGAGGAACGTGTTCCGTGGCCATGTAAAAGTCTGTCGCCCCAGAACTTCGCAAGCAAGCAAGCGTGAGGTTTAGTCCGCAGGCTGCTCTTGACTGCGGGGCGCCCGTGGCCGAAAGCAAATGGTTCCACAGAGTACGGAAGCCGCTCTGCCCGAAGGGCGGAATCGGATCGGTGGAGAAATGCTGGAACACCAATTCCAACAGCCTCACCGACGACCTAATTATCGGAGCAACGAGCGTGCAGCGTCGGACAGGCACGGCGGGTCTTCGGCGCCTTTGTGGCAAGAAAGGCATCGCCGCTGGCTCCCAAACGATCGCTGGGCAACGAGAGGTCGCAACGGCGGGCAACCAGCAGTTCGCCGGAGCGAATGGACATGGTGAAACCCATCAGCAGCACAGCAACCAGTGGGGGTCAGTCCCAGAGCAGACTGAGGCCCGCCATCGCCCGGAGGAGGGCACGGGCCAGCGGCGGGCGGTGTGTGGGGGGGGCGGGGCCTCGGCAAGTTTCCACAGCTTGGCCACACCCCAAGCTTCCGAGAGGAAAGCATGCCGGTGAGGGCGCTCAGCTTGGATGCCCGGAGTG